AGGCAGCACTCACCCCTGCTCTTTGTACTGGGGGCTGGCTAGCCTGGCTGAGGTGTGGCATGGGGGATCTTTCCAACAGCACAGACTGTGTGGACTCTCTCTCTCTCTCTCTCTCTCTCTCTCTCTCTCTCTCTCCCTCTCCTCCCCCTCCCTCTCTCCCTCCGAGCAGGAGCCCCTTCCATCCCCCCCCTCCTGCTCTTTCCTTGGCTTTCGGCCTGGAATGCAGGCCTACCAGGCATCAGGCAGAGGCGTGCATCTGGACTTACGTCTTGTTCCTTGTGTGTGACACTGAAACCGGCATCCTCGTCCGAAAATTAGGTGCGACTATGAAACTGAGCACTGAACTCAGTCCTCACTGGGCAGGTCGCGTCTCAACTGTCCTTAGTTCATTAGGCTCCTGGTTACTGCCCAAACCTTGGTGCCAGCTGAAGGGGCTGCCCTGCGGCCACCCTTCAAAGCATAGTGGGAGCTCTGTTAGACCCGGAGTTCTCCGGATAGGGAAGGGTGATGGGGAGCATGGAGGGGCCAGGGGTTTGTGGGGGGTAGACGGTGATGGCTGGAGATGGGACATTCGTGGTACGTGGTGGCTGCTGAGACTGGTCTGCCTGCAGGGACGCCATCAGCGCCTCCCTGCCCTCTCCAGCTGCATTTACCAGGCCCATCAGGACACAGGGGGCTGGAAGGCAAGAGGGCAGGAAAAGAGGTGGCTGACTGGAATGACAAAGCATGAGGGGAAAGCCACAACCTAGCATCAGCTCCCCAGCCTTCCCGGAGCACCGTCTGGTGCTCTGTTACTGCCCCAAGGGGACAGTCCCGAGGTTATCTGTCCTCCCTTCAGGAGGACACCGAAGCTGGTGAAGAGGAACTCACCTGACCTGATGGCTGGACATCTGAACCCAACACCATCCGGCATCAAGTCTTGTGTTACTGTTTCTTCCTGTTCTGAACTTAGGGCCCGTGGGATCTGACGTGTCTGTGGAGGACTGGAGGCAGCGTGCACGGGTATGGATCTTTTTTCTTACTTGTTTTTGTTTTTTGAGACAGGGTTTCTTTGTGTGGCCCAGGCTGGCCTCGAACTCACAGAGATCCACCTGCCTCTGCCTCCTGAGTGCTGGGATCAAAGGCATATGACACCACCTCACAGCTAGGTATGGATTCTGATAGGAGACATTCCCTGCGTCTGCGTCTCCACCTGGACTGCCCCCAGCCCTCACCGGTGGCTGGCTTGAGTTTACAAAAGCACCAGGTGGTGCATGCAGGGGTCCAGGGAAAGGAAGAGAAGGTGTGCACCTACCTGAATGGGAACAAGACCAGGGATAACTCTAAGAACAGCAACCGAGCCCAGCCCTGGGGACATTTTTAGCAGCACTGTTCCTAAGCAGAAACGAGAAACTCCAGGAATAGCAGTGGCAGAATTCAGAAATCAGCTGCAGCTCCCCTAGCCACATGGGTAAATCCTAAACCATATCAGTGGGGATGAAACAAGCCAATTGCAGGGGCTCCGTTCAGTTCAAAGCCCCCCACAGAACTAGATGCAGGTTGAGGGGTTGATACAAACACGAGAGAGCTGTTAAAAGGCCGGGAAGTGACAAAGGGCAGTTTGTGATATTCTGGGCCGGTGAAGGAGGCACACCAGAAAGCTTCCACCCGTGGCCGTTTGTCAGGGCCCACAGATGCCAAACACCCTTCATCATGCTGGGGAGACACAGGTGTGAGCAAGACAGAGCCAATCCTAGACCTCAGGGAGCTTGTGCATTGGCAGGGCGGGTCCGTGGTGGATGGCGCGTGTCCGTTTTATTATCCATTGCCCCTTTGCAGGAGTTCTGTAATGTCAAGCCTGCTACGTTTAAACAGGTCCACAAGGCAGAGACACATAGTTGACTGACTTCCTTCTCCCCAGTACAAGGTCCCTCACCGCTGAGTTGGTTCTGAGGACTGAGCTCATGCGTATACTCCATCCCATTCACCAGGAGTTCCATCTTCAGACTGTATTAGTCACTTTTCTGCTGCTGGGACAAAACACTGTGACCAAGACACCTTACAGGAGGAAGCGTTTATTTGGGCTGGCAGCTGCAGAGGGATGAGAAACTATCACAATGGTGAGGCATGGCAGCAACCTCAGTGGTGGGTCATATCTTCAGCCGCACGCTTAAAGCAGAGAGAATGAACTGGATGTGGGGTCAGGCTGTGAACGCTCGCGCGAAGCCTCCATGAAAGCTACACTACCCGTCCCAAACAGTGGCATCATCTGGGACCCAAGTACTCAACTCTCTGAGTGTATGTGGAGTACTTCCCATTTAAACCACCACGCTCCTCGGGACCCTCCCCAGCCGAATGCCCCGTGTTCTCTCATGCACTAGGAGGAGATCCAGACACAGTTTGGAGGGCCAAGCTGGCGGGTGGACTAGCGTTCTCTAGGTCTGAGGGTGCCAGGGTCAGATGGGGAGATAAAATGCAATGGAAGGGGAGCAGGGCCTGGTCACATTCCCTCGGCTGCCTACGGCTCGTTAAGTGCTTGAACAGAAAACAGAAGATGGGAGGCAACAGTCTGTCTCAAACTGCTCATCTACACCGCAGGCGCGCAGTTTGACAACCATCCGTCACTCAATCCACCATGCACACGTCCATACAACTAACACGTGTGAGTGGCAGAATAATGGCTCCCCAAAGATGTCCTCGTCCCCAGAACCCAGGTTGTTGCTTAACATGGCAAAAGGGGATTAAGGTGGCCGATGGAATGTGGGCTGCTAATTATCTGGAGTCAAAATAGGGAGATTATCTTGGATTTTCCCAGTGGGCCTAATGTAATCACAGGGGTCTTGAGGAGGAGAAGAGGATCTCAGAAGAGAGGTCCAGAGAGGTTGACGGTGTGAGAAGGACCTGGCCAACATGTCTGAGTCTAAAGATGAAGAAATAGGACCAGAAGACAAGGAAAATGGGAAGCCCAGAAAGGCAAGGAAATGGTTACCCCTTGAGAGTCTGGACTGCAGCCCTGGCAGAGTTCAGCCCATGGAGACACCATTTTCAGAATAAATTTGCTTTGTTTCCAGCCCCTACATTTTTGTTTTGTTTTGTTTTTTGAGACAGGGTTTCTCTGTATAGTTTTGGTGCCTGTCCTGGATCTCGCTCTGTAGACCAGGCTGGCCTCGAACTCACAGATATCCGCCTGGCTCTGCCTCCCTAGTACTGGGATTACTGGCATGCACCACCACCACCCGGCCCCAGCCCCTAACTTTGTGATAACCCCTTACAGCAGTTGTAGGAACTACACACACCATCGATTCATCCAAGCCCATGGCGGAGCCATCCAGCCAACCACCCCTGCATTTAGCACACATACATTGAGTGTCTCTGTGTTAGCTGCCAAACTATGACAGAGAACAGTGACTACCTGCCTCAAGCTCTCCATCCAGTGGGGAGGCGGACACAGGGTTTCCGGCTGGGGATCTTTTCCGCTCTGACGGTAGGAGTGAGGCATTTGGAAAGGATTAGGGGAGCATCCACGACTTGTCAGTTCTTAGTGACAGCAACAAGACACAGATTATTGCGAGACAGTTGTGAGTCTCTGCAGCCAGCATCTTTCCCGAGGGCTGTCTGCTAGCGGCCACCGTCCTTGCTGCCTCTGCCGTCACCCCCACGAGAATGTGGAGCTCTTAACCCTGTCCGGCGAGTAGGCAAAGGGATAGGTCCAACCAGGATGTCTACGTCTTTCTCCATAGTGCAAGGCCCCTGACTGCCCGGCCACTCAGCCTGGCTCCCCAGGCTTCTAGTCCATCTGCTAGCGGTGGCTGTGCCCTTCTGTTTCATTGGTGGCAGCTAGGGCACTTGCCTGCTCAGAGGGTCAGGCTGAGCCTAGTTGGAAGGATGTGTGATTGCAGACGATGAACCATCCTCTCTTGAATTTTCACAACCTCATCTATGGAAGGAGAATAAGGATGGCATGGCCCTTCTCCCAGGGTCACAGGCCAGGCAGAGAGAAACCACTACAGAAGCCCATACGACTCAAGCCCTGGGATATACAGCCCCTCACTTGGGAAAGGTGATACTGAAGACTGTAAGTGAGGTACAGAGTTGTGATGCTCCGTGAGGCTGAGGGGTAGGGCTAATGGCATTTAGCTCCTTTTGTGAGGAAAGAATAAGGTTCTAATGCCATCCCTGAGGCCTAGGCCTTGACTTGCCAGGGCCCAACCCTACAGAGCCTAATCCCATCACAGCCTGCAGTCACTGGCTGGAGAGCTGCCTTAGGCCGTGTGGGCCATGGGCACAGTTGCCACCAGGTCCAGCTCATGTTACAGTCTTCCAGGAACAGCCTGTACCTTGGTGCGGCTCTGAGAATGAGCCAAGAAGGTGTTGGCCATCCTGGTCCAATGTCCTCAAAGGCAAGACGTGTGTCTAGCCACATCCAGCAGATGCTTTAGGCCAAGAGTGTGGCCCAAGATAGCTTCTGGGAAGCTGATCCGGAAGGCCTGGTGTGCAGAGGTGGAGGCAGGGTTCAGCATCAAGAAGGAACTCGGAGTGCTCCGGGTAGAGCTGGAGACAGACTGTGTGTGGGGCAGAGTCTCCCTTCAGGTAGACCTCATGAGGGTAACTAGGCACCCTGTTTATGGGGCCACTAGACAGAGCCACTGATCATGAACGACTTCTCCACGCAGCCAAATGAAACCACAGATTTCAGCGGCTGAGCCTTGCCAGACCTTCTCACACCAGGGCTCACTGTGGTCAGCATGCTGCCACGGGTCCAAGTGGGTCCGAGTGTTAGTCCTGGCCCAGTCAGTGCTCTCAGGATTTTACCCTTCTCCGGGCTTCTGTTTTTCCTCTAGAAAAGGGGGCAATGCAGAGTAGCCATCATTGGTGGAACACCTGCAAGGCCTGGAATCTGTAGCCAGAGAACTTGTGGATTTATCTCATTGTTCCCCTGATTCGGGGTGAGTCAGCGGAGGAGTCAACAGGAAGCAGGTTGTCTGAGTGCAGTCAGTGATTGGCAGAAGCAAGCTGTACCTAGGCCTGGCTGACTGTGAGCTGAGGCATGGAGAAGGTGGAAGCTGAGTTGGGGTGGGTGTTTGTAGGCTCTGAAACCATTATGCTGTCTGGGTCTGGCTCTGTCTGACTTCCCCCTCCCTTTACCCCTCTCACTAAACTGCCCTTCCCCCAGCTGGCTCCCTGCCAGCTGTGGACCCTAAAAGTGACATCACGTGGGAGCTTCTGGACTAGGCAGTATCATCATCACGGTCTTCTTCTTCTTCTTCTTCTTCTTCTTCTTCTTCTTCTTCTTCTTCTTCTTCTTCTTCTTCTCCTTCTTCTTCTTCTCCTCCTCCTTCTTCTTCCTCTTCTTCTTCTTCCCTCCCTCCCTCCCTCCCTCCCTCTCTCCTTCTTTCCTTCCTCCTCCTCTGTTTTTGTTTTTCAAGTCAGGATTTCTCTGTGTATCCCTGGCAGTCCTAGATCTTGCTCTGTAGCCCAGGCTGGCCTCAAACTCAAGATGTCTGCCTGCATCTGCCTCCTGAGTGCTGGGATTAAAGGTGTGCACCACTACTGCCCGGCTGCAGTATCATCTTTTTCCAGGCCACCTTTTTGGTGGGTCTCTGGCCAGGCACTAAAACAACAGAACACACACACACACACACACACACACACACACACACACAC